AGAGTTAACCAAGGATTAGCACTATAATCGGGCTTTGAACAACTGGGCCCTGTCATCTATCATCTATATCTGTATCGTCTATCGTCTATCGTCTATCGTCTATCGTCTATCGTCTGTCATCTATCATCTTTCATCTGTCATCCGTCATCTATCATCTATCATCTGGAATTCTTGAGTAGTATTTTTCATATTCTAAAGAAAGGCAAAGCATGGAACTTGAAAAGTGCGCGAGTTATAAATTAACCGAGCGTGTGCCCTTCAATTAATTTTTCATGCTTATCAGCCAGCCAATCACAGGGGTCGTTATATCGTAGCTTTGTCGTAACATGAATTGAAATTGCTGTTTTTATCTTTTCAAGGTTTTTTTGTCAACGTGATTTCTATATTTTTCCTTCTTTTGCCAATCTTCATTTGTCATCTTATATCCAAGCATTATTCTACCGATGTAGTCTTATCATTGATTAGATATATGATTCTATGGATCCTGTAAGTAGAACAATGTTGGATAAAATCATGTGATAAAAAGGGACAGCTCTTTTTTTGATTGTATGGTTAATTAGCTCTAGTTTCAGAAGCTCTTCAGATGCAGTAGTTCTCGGTTGTTGCGCGCTTTGCTCGTGGACCACTAGCAAAACTTAAAGATAAGCATAAAAAATAATGAACAATGACAGTACAATGGCATTCGCAGTGAGAGTTACAGTGACAGTAGCTTTTCAAAATCTACCACGGCGACTTTGACCGGAAGTATAAAAACTTTTTTGGGGGGTTCTGTTCATTGAAAATATCATTCAAATTAACATTGTCGGTAAAGTCAACTCATCCACAAGGAAGACAGGCTTTGAGGGGACGGGGACGGGGAAGGGGACGGTATTAGCTAGTATAGGTTTATGCCAAGAAAAAGCAGACTACTAGTTCGACCTCGTAGTCTAATTATTAAATTAAAAAAAACTACTACTATTCTTCTCACAGGCCACTCATCATCACTCCCATATTGGTTTGGATATCGCTGATTCTTCTATCGCATTTCGTATTCAAAGACCGCACCTACCCAGATATTTCGATTACCGTCAACAACAGGTAAATTTATTTTTTAAATTTTTGGTAGCTGTGATAATATACTGCATTTGTGTGTTATTGTGATGACCGGTTCTATTTACCCCTTTTTTTCCTAAAGTATCAGTACATTATTTGATTTCGTATTTCAGGCGTCTGTTCGGTCTCATGTTGTATTTCTTCTTCTTCCTCAAAATCCTTGATATAATATAGTGGGGGTGGATATTGCGATGGCCGGTGATGGTGGTGGTGGGGAGTGATCATCTCAATATCAATTGCCATAAACTTTCAGTTCTATTTACCCCATTTTTGAAAACGTATCAGTAAGTTAATTTATTTTATTTCAGGCGCCTGTTCGGCATCGTGTCGTATTTCTTCTTCTTCTTCAACATCCTGGTCGGCTTATGGTCGGGCTTGCTTCGTGTTGTGAAAGGAGCAGTAATTGTATTGGTTTTTCTGCCTCGAGTAGATCGTACCACTATGATGAAAGGATATCGGAGATTCGACAAAGGTATATATACACAATATTTGAATAAGCTCCATGAAGAAATGAATAAATTGTATCACAAACAGCCTTCAATTTAAGGTTGCGTGACCGTACGTACGCAAAGCCGTAGAGATGTATTACGTCACCATATCAGATCATATAAAAAGCCGGATTATTCAGATCAGGAACAGTTATCGGAATCAATCGCTTGAAATCGAGGGAGGCTGGGTGTGCCCCCAACAACCAACCACCAACACAGTCCCAGCATCACCTGCTCCTAACCACCTCCGGGGTACCCCCATGGCTTATAGCCTGAAGCATTGTGTGTAGAATCTCTGGGGAAAGTATATTACTACTTCGTATGAAAATTATATTATTTGTTGGACTCTTCTCAAGAGTATCATGCATACGAGGCTAACATGGAAGTACAAAAGAAATTCCACAAATTCCATCGAGGAAATGCGTGATTTCTTTTGTATTTCCATTAACGGTGAGGCTTGCATCCATGGTACTTTTAAGAAGGATTCATTGCAAAATGCTTGTTGTTGTGTGTAATATTTAAATTGTCTTTCTTAGCTTACATGGCCTACATTGGATTCCTTAGTGTACTTGTGGCTTTCAAACACCCTGTCATGCTATGTTTCTGTCAGTTGCTTCTTGAAGGAGTTCGCAGAAGAGAAAGAGGTATTGCTACAGCATGGATGAATATTGCCATGTTTACTGCTAACCTAAAAATGGGCCTTTTTGCCATGCATGCATAGTGCATTTGAATGAAATTTTTGTTAGCTGAGTGGTTGGCTGGTTAGTGGAAACATTGTATAAAACTCCATTATCCAATTCTGGTTTGCTCAGCCTTAGCCTGAGTTGTGTGTTCATAGATCCAGACATTCATCCAAAACCTGTATAAGTTTATTCAACTTGTATTGTTTTGTAGAACGTACATTCCTTAATATAAATGGACTTTAATGAAAGAAAAGAACACATTTATACATCATCGAGGCTGAGGCTGAGCCAGCGAACTCGAAATTAGGGGGATATTGCTGGTATTACTGGTTGCCTCACCTAGTTGTTAGGCTGAATACGTCGAATTGTGTCATGGGGTACCTTTGTCATCCATAATGTGTTTCCAGGGAATTTCATTTCAATTTTCGCGAACCTAGAAGTTGCGAGATCCTTGTCTTTGGCATTTGCTGCTTTTTTGGTGGTAATCTAGAGCTCTATAACCAGTATAACAGTCGAGCTAATTCTCAAAGAGATATTCTCTATTTGATGATTTGACTTTTACRAGGATCCGGGGTGGACGTCATCGTTTCATTTCTATATTGAATATCTCGGCAACGTAAAGAGACATTAAAAAGAAAGCAAATGCCATTCTTATTTATATTTTAAAACTGATAGGCACTTTAATTGACGGAAGCGAAAAACCCAATTTTTTTCCATCGCAGCAATTTAGTTTACATTCTAATATTGAAAACCATAATGAAACCCTTCGCGCCTCCTATTGCCATTTCTTCTTAACCCCATTAGGATATCGAATACAAAATTTTCTACGTTAGAAACTTTACTTTTAATACATTCTTCGATCGATTCGATTTTATCTTCAGGTCAAACGACCATCGCTAGCAGGCCTCGTGTTTCTGGCAAGGCCTTGAACCGCTGGTTTCTTGTCGTGCTGCTCGTGCGTAACCCAAGCCTCGTGCGTTACCGTAAACAAGGTGCCCGTATTGTTTTAAAGTTGCCATCCACAAGTGACGTGAAGCTTGAGATGCCTCCAATTGTTTTGGAAGATACATTTCCACCAGCAGAGCGTTTGAAGAGTCTGGAAGTCTATTAGTCTCATTTGTACATGAATGCCATAGTCAACAATGTTTGCAAATCATGTGCGCAGTTTAGTTGAGGGAGTTTATTTGTAACACTTAAGTTTTAGATTATTGCTAGTTAAAAATAAAAAGTTTTAGAATTAAAAATGTTGTTCAAGTTGGAGCAGACGCTATTGGGGGGATGACTGAAACCGGAAGCGCCTCACAGCGGCTGCGCAGAAGGCTACTGTCGAGCACGCTTTTGCTGTCTGGCTTCAGTAAGTGCTTGCTCTGATCTGTCAGCGACGTTACGTTCCTAAATATGTAAGTAATATTTCTATTCTAAAGTTGCCGTTTTCAATCTTAAAACTGCAAAACATATTGTTAATAACTTGTAGAGTGTTACGTACATCAAGCGATTCAAGGAATACCACAAGCAAAAGAGGCGCCGAAGGTAACACGCCTTAACCCAGACTTCACTCTCAAACAACATGGACGTTCCAAAGTAAGTATAGTTATTTGAATAACAGCTCCTTGAAAAAGCCTTGATCATAGTATAGTATATGTATAAATATACGAGGTAAAAAATCTAAACCCACACTTCACTCTCAACCAACATGGACTTTCCAAAATAAGTATATCAAGCTTTTTGAAAAAGCCTCGGTTATGGCCCTTTGTGCCGTAAAAATTAAAACATATGCTCCTCGTTCAGCTAGAACTGGGTGGACTTTATTTGTGAGGACGCTAAGAAGCTTTTTCAGATGCATGGATCTTGATTCAATATGGTCTACGAATGATTAACCTTTTATATTTGAAACAACAACTTACTAGTAATGAATCTTGAAATTCTTTCCTTGAATTTTAATAAAAATGGCTGAGACGCCCAGAGCGTCTTTTTGTCACACTTAATTATGCTATGGGTGAGTGTTTCAGCGAATGCTATTAAAATTCAAGGCAAAAAATTTTAAGATTCATCAGACTACAAGCAAGTTGTTGTTCGAATGACAGTTCCTGGTATTTCATTTGCCGTCATTTTCTGTCTAGTGCAGAATGTTTATTCGCTGAATTGAATTGAATGAACCTTCATTTATACATGGTAGCCCTTTCAGTTACATAAAATAACTGTTATCAATAGGAGCCCTGATAAAATTCATACAATAATAATTATCATTCGCAAGTTTTGAATAGAATTTTTTCTGGCTGCTGACAGCACAGGGTTGACAGTGTGTTTACCACCATTTGTAACAGATGATGAGATTCAACCTTTATCAGCTGATCGAAACCCAGCAAAATAGACCATTTTCGAGTTCCAAATTACCGCTGTGTT